TGTACAGTCATGTTTATAACAGCATTATTCACAATAGGCAAAAGGGAGAAATGGCCCAAATGTTTGCTGACAGATGAAGAGATAAATAAAATGTGGATATACATACAAGAGAATATTTGGCCTGAAAAGGGAATGAAATTCTGATTTATGCTACAACATGGATTATCACTGAAACACTATGTTAAGTGAAATAAGCCACATACAAAAGGACAAACACAGTAGGATTCCACTTATATGAGGAATCTAGAATGGGCAAATTCAAAGAGACAAAAAGTAGAATAGTGGTTGCCACGGGTAGGAGGAGGGGAGAATGGGAAGTTGTTTAATGAGTACAGAGTTTGTGTTTGGAATGATGAAAAAGTTCTGGAAATGGACAGTGGTGATGGTTGTACAACACTGTGAATATATCTGATGTCAATGAATGATACACTTTAAAAAATGGTTAAAACGGTGCTTCGGCTGGTTGTACAATACTGTGAATATATCTGATGCCACTGAATGGTACACTTAAAAATGGTAAAATGGTGCTTCAATAGTACATATACTAATGTTAAAATGACACAGAGAAGATTAGCATAGCCCTTGTGCAAGGATGACACACAAATTTATGAAGCATTCCATGTATTTACAAAGAAAGACGATTAGGGACTCCTGGGTGGCTCAGTCCGTTAAGCGTCCAACTTCAGCTCAGGTCATGATCTCACAGTTCATGAACTCGGGCCCCACGTCAGAATCTGTGCTGACAGCTCAGAGCCTGGAGCCTGCTTCAGATTCTGTGTCTCCCTCTCTCTCTGCCCATCCCCTGTTCACACTCCGTTTCTCTCTCCCTCAAAAATAAACATTAAGAAAGTTTTTTAATGATTAAAATGATAAATTTAATGTTATGCGTATTTTATCACAATAAAAAAACTCATTAAATAATTTAGAAAGGGGATGCCTGGGTGGCTCAGTCAGTTAAGCATCCAACTCTTAATTTTGATTCAGGTCATGATCTCATGGTTATGAGATCAAGCCCCATGTTGGGTTCCATGCTATGTGTGGAGCCTGCTTGGGATTCTCTTTGCTCCCTTGCTCACATGCATGTATGTGCACTCTCTCTCAAAAAAATTTTTTTTTAATTGTAAAAAAATTAAAATGTTAAAAATAAAACAATAATTTAGAAAGAAAAAAATGAAAATATAAAAAGGGGAAGAATGGAAGATACAGATGAAGCAAAAGTGCCCTGAGTTAATTAGTAAATGACAGATATAACTAATAGGCACACAAAAGCTCACTGCTCTCTGCTTTTGTATATATTTGAATTTTACCATAATAAACATTAACAAGAAAGTCCTCTGTAATGTACAAAATGTTTTTAGAATTTACCCCCTTACAAAATTTAGCAAGAATGAATACACAAGGTTCAAAGACTTGGGGCACCTGGCTAGCTCAGCTGGAAGAGCATGCGACTCTTGATCTCAGGGTTGTGAGTTCAGGCCCCACAGTGGGAAGAGATTATTAAAAAGTAAATAAATAAACTTAAAAAAAAGGTTCAAATACCTAAGCTTAAGACCTAAAACTATAAAATTATTTTTTATACTTTATTTATTTATTTACAGAGAGAGAGAATCCCATGCACACAATCCCACAACCGAGAGATCATGATTTGGGCAGAAATCAAGAGTTGGACACTCAACTGAGCCACCCAGGCATCCTTAAAAATTCTTACAAGAAAACCTACATCAGGGGGCACCTGGCTGGCTCAGTTGATCTCACAGTCATGAGTTCAAGCCCCATGATGGGTGTAAAGATAACTTACACACACACACCAAGGCAAAAGCTTCATGACACTGGACTTGGCAATGATTTCTTGGATACAAGGATACAAGCAACAACAACAACAAAAACAGATTGGACTTCCTAAAAATGTTTACATTGTATGCATCAAAATACACTATCAACAGAGTAAAAAGGCAGCACACAGAATGGGAGAAAATATTTACAAATCAAGTACCTGATAAGGGATTACTATCCAACATACATAGAGAACTCCTAAAACTCAACAACAAAAAGCAAGCAATATGATGTAAAACTGGGCAAAGGACCTGAATAAACATTTCTCCAAAGAAGATACACCAATGTTTAATAAGCACATGAAAAGATGCTCAACATCACTAACCATTAGGGAAATGTAAATCAAAACTACAATGAGATATCACCTCACATCCACTAGGACGGCTACCATTTAAACAAAACAAAAACCCAGAAGATAACAAGTGCTGTCAAGAATGCAGAGAAACTGGAAACCTTGTGCATTGCTAGTGATAATGTAAAATGGTACAGCCACTGTGGAAAACTGTATGGTAGTTCCTTAAAAAATTAATCAGGGGTGTCTGGGTGGCTCAGTCAGTTAAGTATCTGACTTCGGCTCAGGTCATGATCTCACAGTTTGTGAGTTCAAGCCCCGCGTTGGGCTCTATGCTGACAGCTAGCTCAGAGCCTTGAGCCTGTTTCATATTCTGTGTCTCCCTCTCTCTCTGACCTTCTCTTGCTCATGCTGTCTGTCTCTCTCTCTCTCAGAAATAAACACATTTTAAAAATTAAAAAAAAAATCAAAGAATTGCCATATGATCCAGCAACTCCACTTATGTATATACTCAAAACAGGAACTTGAACAAATATTTGTATATCCATGTCTATAACAGTATTATTCACAATACACAAAAGGTAGAAACAATCCAAATGTCCATCAACGGATATATGGGTAAACAAAATGTGATATATAAACTCCATTTTAACACATGCTACAACATGAATGAATCATGAGGACATCATGCTAAATGAAATAGGCCAGTCACAAAAAGATAAATAGTATATGATTCCACTTATTGATGTACTCAGAGTAGACAAAATCCGGAAGTAGAATGGTGGCTGCCAGGGGCCTGGGGAAGAAGGGAATGCGAATATGGGAATGCTAAGAAGGGAATGGGACTCTGTTTAATGGGTACAGAGTCTTGGTTTTCCAAAATGAAAAGAAATGGGAGATGGACATAGTGATGGTTGCACATTATGAAAGTATTTGATACCACTGAACTGTACACTTAAAGTGATTAAGATGGTAAGTTTTATGTTATGTGTATTTACAATAAAAAAAATTAAACAACAAAAAAGAAGGAGCACAGAGGAGGGGGTGGGGGAAGACAGGACTAGGAGGGACTCAAGTGTATTAGAAGGAAAGGAAAGAGGATGGGAACACAGATTTGGCTACAATATAGTTTACAGTAATGTTCAGAACAGGGAAGAAACCTGTTAGGTATTTTATGGTAAAACTAAAAGAGCAAAACAACAAGCCATTAAAAAGAACATTATAAGCCAAAAGTAAGCTTAATACAGATAACACAAACCATAGAACTCTGAGTGCAAATGGGACTCTGAGCTCACTAATAGCCAGCGTAAAGAGGGAAACATTATTGACACAGTTCACATTATACTTTAGACAAAATCAAACCAGTGGCTTAGAAGAGGCACAGTCATTCCAGGCAATGAACCTCAAGGAAATTCCACTTGGCCTCACAGATTCTCCCAGGGACTTCTCACACAGATCTCAACGCCAGCTGATGGGACTGTGCAAAGTCACTGGAAACATAAACCACTGGAAGAGGGGCCAGAATTATGTTGCCTCCTAATGATCTGGCTTCACCCAAAGACAACACTGCCTGGAATGTGTGCACTGAAACACCTTCCACCATAGTCTCATGAATGTTTTCTCACAGTTGTGCATGGGATGGCATTTGGAAAGTGAAAAATTCAAGATTATCTTCCCTGACAAGAATATGAGATGCAACATTCTCTGTTGCTTGCTAAAGACAGGTCTTGATGTTTTCAACAGTCACTGTTGCCGGGATGACGGGACCTAATCACCCTATGGAGATGAGGTAGTATCAACATGAGCTGGTAGGAAGAAAGGTTGAGTAGGTCAATCTGGGGAAGATCATGAGAGCATGGAGCTACTGAAGACTGTTGAAGAGGACCACGATTGGAGACTTTGAGCGGCAGTGCAGGTCTTCTGAAAGGTGTAACCCCAGCCCACAGCCAAACACAGCAAGCTGCTCAAAGTTGAAAGTTACTGGGAAACGTAAAAATAAGTAAGATTTTAAATTAAAAAAACAAAACAAAAATGGGAGCACCTGGCTGACTCAGTTGGTTAAGCCTTGGACTTCAGCTCAGGTCATGATCTTGCAGTCTGTGAGTATGAGCCCCACATCGGGCTCTGTGCTGACAGTGTGGAGTCTGGAGCCTGCTTCAGATTCTGGGTCTCCCTCTCTCTCTGCCCCTCCCCCCCACACGCACGCAAACATGCGCGTGCTTTAAAGGTTGTAGAATAGTTTTACATAAAAACATGTTCACACAATAACAAAAATGGATACAATACAGTATGATCCCATCATAAAAAGCGAAAACAAGACAATGAGCAAGAATGAAGCCTGCTAGAGACTACCACTGGGATTACAGGAAAAAAAACCTGTGCACGTGCACACCTGCCTATTAATTGTTCTCCAACACAGATGACTTGTATTTTTTAAAAAACACCTCTAATCCCTCAAGAAATTTAGAAATCTAGGAATGAAATTCTCAATTATATTGCTATTCTTATTTTTTCAATTGAGAATTGAGAATGACATCATCTAAAAACAATGAGAAAACTGGCTAAGAAAAAAAGCCAGTTATGTACTTGGCAAAACTATAGTATATGAATTAAATGATGATGAGAAACACGTAAGTACTGGCCTCCTGCTCTGGTTTTAGGTGCACTGTATGGAGCCATGGCTCTCAAAGTATAGTTCCCTAGACCAGCAGCAGCAGCTGTAGCACCTGGTAACTTGTTTGAAATTCAAATTCCGAGGCCTAGCTCTAACCTACAGAGTCAGGGACTGTAGTGAAGTGGGGTTAAAACAAGCCCTTAGGTGACTCTGATTCACACTAAAGTTTAAGAACCAATGGTATGAATAATGTCCCACCTGGATTGGCGGGGGGGGGGGGGGGGGGGGGGGGGGGGGGGGGGGGGAAGCTTGTCTAGCCAAGGAAATACACTTTTTCTCAAACCCCTTTGTTATTTTATTTTATTTTTTTAATGTTTTATTTATTTCTAGGAGAGAGAGAGAGACAGCATGAGCAGGAGAGGGTCAGAGAGAGAGGGAGTCACAGACTGAAACAGGCTCCAGGCTCTGAGCCGGCAGTCAGCACAGAGCCCGACGCGGGGCTCGAACCCACGAACCGCGAGATCATGACCCAAGCGAAAGTCGGACGCTTAACCGACTAAGCCACCCAGGCGCCCCTCCCCTTTGCTATTTTAACCTGAACTCCTAAACAAGCACTTATCTATTCAGTTGTGAAATAAGATGGAAGTAACTTAAAGATATTTTTTAAATTAGGTAGAATTCTGGCGTTGTTTGTTTTAATATAATGTACTAACCACTGCAGTGGAGTGACCTGAAGAAAATCAAATCTAGTTCGTAAAAAGTTGCAAGGAATCAACATATCTGGAATTTCAATATATCTATCATCTAAAATTTGCAAATACTCTGAAGTTGCGGAACAGCTACGCCATTACAACTGCCACATTCACGTTAACTGATTATTTTAGTGCC